TCCCCCCCCTTCTCCCCTCCCCCCACCCTCTACTGCCCCCCCCTCTTCACCCTCTTGCCCCCCCTCCCACCCTCTATGCCCCTCCCTCTCTCACCCCTCATGCCCCTCCCTCTCTCACCCCTCTCTGCCCTCCCCTCTCACCCCTCTACTGCCCCTCCCTCTTCTCACCCCTCTACTGCCCCTCCCCTCTCACCCCTCACCCCCCCCCTCCCTCCCCCCACCCCTCCCTCCCTACCCCACCCCCCCCCCTCCCCCTCCACCCTCCCCCCCCCCCTCTTCCCTCCCTCCCACCCACCTCCCTCCCACCCTCCCTCCCTCCCCCCCCTCCCTCCCCCTCCCTCCCTCCCCTCCCACCCTCTCCTCCCCCCCCTCCTCCCCCCACCCTCCCTCCCCCCTCCCTCCCTCCCCCACTCCTCTACTGCCCCCCCCCTCTCCACCCCTCCCTACTGCCCCCTCCCTCCCCCTCATCCTCTACTGCCCCTCCCTCTCTCACCCCTCTACTGCCCCCTCCCTCTCCACCCCCCTTCTCCTCTCCCTCTCTCCCCCTCTACTGCCCCTCCCTCTCTCACCCATCTACTGCCCCTCCCTCTCTCACCCTCTACTGCCTCTCCCTCTCTCACCCCTCTACTGCCCCTCCCTCTCTCACCCCTCTACTGCCCCTCCCTCTCTCACCCCTCTATTGCCTCTCCCTCTCTCACCCCTCTACTGCCCCTCCCTCTCTCACCCCTCTACTGCCCTCCCTCTCTTCACCCCTCTACTGCCCTCCCTCTCTCACCCCTCTACTGCCCCTCCCTCTCTCACCCATCTACTTGCCTCTCCCTCTCTCACCCATCTACTGCCCCTCCCTCTCTCACCCCTCTACTGCCCCTCCCTCTCTCACCCATCTACCCTCACCTCATTTACATCAACGTTTTCAGTGTTTATTCTTCCTCTTGTTCATCCAGCAGTAAATACGTGGGTACTTAGGAGTTATTTTACCTCTGTAGGTACCAACAGACCCCTGGCTGTCTTTAAGAAGGCACTGGACAGGCACCTGAAGTCAGTACCTGACCAACCGGGCTGTGGTTCGTATGTCAGCTTGCATGCGGCTAGCAGTAACAGCATGGTTGATCAGACCCTGATCAACCAAGAGGCTTGGTCGGAACTAAGGACCTTGTGGCCGTGTGCGTACGTTAGCCTAGGGGAGGTGGACACCAATAGCTTGATTGAACAGGCGAGCAAGCCGGAGGCCTGGTCTGGGACCGGGTCGCGGGGGGCGCTGACCCCCAGGAGACGATAGAGGTTGATATGTTGATGACAAGTGAGTGTTTACAAATACATTCACATGATGTCAGCAACCAGGCTGTGAGCCAGATGAACCAGGCTGTGATGGACATGTGGGCTAGCGGGCCACCAGCCTGGTTGACCGGCAAACACCAGACGAGCCTGGCTCATGGCCGGGCTTCAGTAGACAAACTCTCGGAACTCATCAAATGAACAGGTAAAGGTAACGAGAAACTTGACAGGACGGATAATAAGAACTTACAACACAAGAGAAAGTGTCAGTGGTAGAGTGTTTGAGTCACTCGTGCTGCTCTCTACTTACGTAATTCTTCTTATAAACATTTTAGCAGTATAATATGATCCTTTATTGACAACGTTTCGCCCACGCAGTGGGCTTTATCAGGTCACCAACAGATCTGTCTTGATGATACCATTCGGGACATTAGAGACATCAGAGCTAGAAAATGTACAGAGATAATTTACTATGTGTAAATAATTAATAGAACATTTAAACCATAAGGAACACCTTTAAGTACTTGTAGTGCACCCTCTTGAATGATGGAGAGAGAGAGAGAGAGAGAGAGAGAGAGAGAGAGAGAGAGAGAGAGAGAGAGAGAGAGAGAGAGAGAGAGAGAGAGAGAGAGAGAGAGAGAGAGAGAGAGGTAATAATATATACATGTATGATACTCGAGGACTTAGTTCTAAATCTCCACTAGAGTGACAGGTGTGGGAGGAAGTGTAAAATAGACCCGGTGAGACGCAGGAACACCATGAACACAATAAGAGAGCACTGAGTCAACATTCCTGGTTCAAGAGTATTCAAACTGCTAAGAACAGACGTCAGAAACATTGCCCGATCAACCAGGCTATGATGGATTTGTGAGCCGGTGGCCCGCCCAACAGCAACAGCCTCGTTGAAGAGGCTGTTAGATACACCCGTGGCTGGACACCAGACACAAGTGTATCTAACTGTACTCCCGTGGCCTGGTGACAAAAGATCTCGCTTCACACAGTGAGGGTCCGGGTTCGATTCCCGGCGAAGGGGTGGAAACATTGGACGTGTTTCCTTACACCGGTTGTCTATGTTCACCCATCAGTAAAATGGGTACCTGGGTGTTAGTGGACTGGTGTGGGTCGCATCCTGGGTGTTAGTGGACTGGTGTGGGTCGCATCCTGGGTGTTAGTGGACTGGTGTGGGTCGCATCCTGGGACAAAACTGAACTAATTTGCCCAAAATTGTCAGCATAATAAGGGGCTTTCTATATACCTTGTACATGTACTTGTAGAAATAAAGATATTATTATTATTATTATTATTATTATTATTAGTAGTAGTAGTAGTAGTAGTAGTAGTAGTAGTATGGTCCTCCATATACCCCTAGACTTAACTTCCTTAATTTTCCCATATCTCTCAATCCAGTAAGTAGTTATATCAGTGTGGAGGTTAGACCAGATCCTCAAGTATCTCCCAGGTGTATAGTATCAGGTATCTCTCTCTCTTCTTCAGAGAGAACAGTCTGAGTGCATCCAGGCAATACAAATAGTTTAAATGTTTTATTGATTCTGTGCGTGTTCCCACAGTGTTCCCAGTGTTTCCACAGTGTTCCCACAGTGTTCCCACAGTGTTTCTACATTATGGTTGAACAAGGGAGAGACAGACAAGCCTGGCTCACGACCGGGCTGGCGAATCAGGAAGACTCTCGAAACTCATCTATTGTATATCGAAGGTGTGTGTGTGTGTGTGTGTGTGTGTGTGTGTGTGTGTGTGTGTGTGTGTGTGTGTGTGTGTGTGTGTGTGTGTGTGTGTGTGTGTGTGTGTGTGTGTTTAGTCTGAGCCCGCCTCTGAATTACTCACGAAATCTCTCTCTCTCTCTTCTCTCTCTCTCTCTCTCTCTCTCTCTCTTCTCTTTCTCTTTCTCTCTCACCCATACTTACCTCCACAGGCAAGGATTCCAGGGACTTGGACTTGGTGTAAGTCATGACACAGAGGCCGGAGTCGGTCACCCCGTATTCGGTACCGCCGGGTTCAGTACCGCCGGGGTCGGGTTCACTGGTACAAGGCTGGATAACCGCGTTGCCCATCCTCTATCTCCCTGGTCAGCGTCTTGACATGTTCGTCACCTCCTTTGCCTAATCTCCTGGGAGCTGTGCTAGGCTGTGCTAGGATGAGCTAGGCTGTGCTAAGATGAGTTAGACTGTGCTAGGAAGTGTCGGCACAACCCAGGAAGCGAGCGATCTTTTTCCAGTCACCAGTTCACAGTTCAATAGTTTTATTGGTATAAAGACTTGCGGACTAGAAGTTTAACTAAGTTCACAGTTCAGTAACTTTACCACGATGAGGTCACACTTAAGAGGTCACTTTTCAAAGGTCACACTTGAGGTCACACTTCAGAACAGAAACGGCTAGTTCACTAATCATTCTGCTGATAATTTCCTAAATTATTATTAAATACATAAGGAAGCGCTAAACCAGTAAGTCACAGCGCCTGATCGAATTCCTCGAATCAAAAGCCCTAACACTGAATTACGTTATTCAGCTGCTGTAGATCGGGCGAAAATAAACGAGCCATAAGATGTGTAAAAATGGATGAATATTTTCAAGAGGCTGGGCTCTGTCTCCCGGTCCTCTGGGCACCACTTGTATCTTACACATTCCTGGCATGACCTCCTGCATGACCTCCTCTTAGCTGGTCTCCAGGGTAGTGTGGATGTGTGTGTGTGTGTGTGTGTGTGTGTGTGTGTGTGTGTGTGTGTGTGTGTGTGTGTGTGTGTGTGTGTGTGTGTGTGTGTGTGTGTGTGTGTGTGGTTGGTTACGAGGGAATATTGTAGCATTTCTGAGGCGCAGAATATTTTGTTTTAATAATTAATCTTAGATTGATCTGGGGGGGGGACGAGGACCCCTGAAATCTAGAGGTACACATGGGTATTGATACCCTCCCCCCTCTTTTACATCCAACACGTGACCGCTTCCAGCAGCCTCGCACAGCCCTCACCTAACACCCACACAGCTGTATACTGACTACAGGTGTAAGAAGAGACGTACACGTCTTCTCTCGCCCGGGGATCGATCCCAGAACTCCTTACTTGTGAGCTTATAAGGTTTACTATCAATAATAGTAAACCTGCACAACACGATTTTATCCTGACAACTTCTCGCTCTAAGTCAAGCTTCATTAAGTCATAAGCGAGAGAGAGAGAGAGAGAGAGAGAGAGAGAGAGAGAGAGAGAGAGAAAGACTGGTGAATGCAGGACACAGTCAGCAGCTTAGCCATAATAAACACACTCTTGGGAGTGCAAAAGATTGAAGGGTAACCAAATAAATACATCTAAGAGGGGAGACTCAAGCATCACTGGAGCAGTCGCACCTGCTGGCTTCACTCATCAAACCAGTCTGCTAGTTTTAGCACTAGCTTGCCACGATCAGACACCAGGGGCGTCGTGGGCACAATTGAAGAACACTGTGTCAACACACCGGGTCCCAGACTATTCAACATCTTACCAGAAGATATCAGAAACACTGTCGGGACCAGTGAAGACGTCTTCAAGAGCAAACTGGTCAAGTACCTCCACCAAGTGCCAGATCCGTCAGGCAAAGGTGGATATGTGGGTCAACGGGCCGCTAGCAGCAACAGATTAGTTGACTAGGCAAGCACCAAGCAAGACTGTCTCATGCTGCAGAATGAGAAAACGATCGAAACGCATCAGACATATACAAAAGAGGTGTATATCTCTCAGTGTATATACACCGAGAAGAGTATGTATCTCATGTATATACACTGAGAAGAGTATGCTCTCAGTGTATATATACCAAGAAGTATGTTCTCAGTGTATATATACCGAGAAGTGTATGTCTCTCTGTGCATATACACGAGAATGTATGTCTCTCACTGTATATACACCGAGAAGTGTATGTCTCTCAGTGTAATACACCGAGAAGTGTATGTCTCTCAGTGTATATACACCGAGCAGTGCATGTCTCAGTAGTAGTAACCAGTTACCAGTAACCAGTGTAACCAGTAGATGACTCACTACCAACCGTCTCTGCCTGAGTCACTGTCTGTATTCATATTGTGCTGACCACAGCAGTATTCAAAGACCCCCTCACATATGGTACTGTGGGTGGTCAGTTATACGAGAGTGAGCAAGGAGGCAGGCCAGCTGTTGGCGCTACCCACATTATCCGTAATATACGTACTACCAGCCTTACGTGAGTATTACTTTACCCTATCCACGTGTTCGAACCCCACATGATAAATGGTGGCCACCGGTGTGGAGTGTGAAATTAAGCTTTTTAAGGGTATTTCAAGAGGTTAGAAGACTGTTTGTGAGTAGCCGGCGGGTCAAAGGTGAACCGTCTCAACCCATCTCAAGCTACTCACTCCCCTCACAACCTCCACCTCCAGCCTGCAAGCCTGTTGCAGCCGTTTCAAGCTTCCTGGCTTGTTCGTGTGCTAATTGCTTCAATCTCTGAGGGGTTGACCCGGATTTTGCAATTAAGCCAGTCAGTAAGCCAGACTGTGGAAGTGAACGCCAGCCAGACCTATCATCCAGCCTGTCTCCTGTCATCACCGCTCCTCCGTGCTGTGTGCATCGTTACACGTCTTCCCAGTCAGCCATTCTCGGGGGTTTTAAGCCAGTCAGCCAACCCAGCTTCTAACCCAGCTGAGAGTAAGAAGTAAGCCAAGTTCCCTCTAAGTATTGTCTATATTCGCTTTGTGCTTGGATGCTAAAGTAAATTTCCCCTTTTCCGTGGCATAGTGGCTTATCAACCACCTTCAGGGGTTTAGTGAGTGGAGTGCGCACCATGAGCGCCGCGAGAGGGCACCACCTCACCCAATGCTATACACTCTCCCTCCACCCACCAACCACCACCACCCCCACCAGCCATCACCTCATCTACCGTGGTTGTTTGGGACCCTTGTACCGGGTCCCAGAACTGTTTTGGCTCACTAATTGGTCAAGAGATGTTTGCTGAGCGCCACCGATAAAGCCAGTTATGTGAGTTCACTAAGAAAGTGAATTTCTTCACGACGACAGTGTGGGTGTCGGCGTCATCCCCGCCAGGACAACCTTCCCCATCACCAGTCATCACTGTCGACTACTACAGACTTCAGTGATAATTTTCTGTTTAGAGACATTTTTCTTGCATTTAAAGACATTTGCGGGGTGAGACATTTATAGTGAATTTTTTGTGTACTCTAAACCTTGTTTTTCAGTGTAGACTCAGTGTTTCTTTGACTCGTTATTTTTGCAATATTTTTTTTGTGTTTTCGCTCATCTCAATTTTTTTTTATCTGTGTTTTTTTTATGCTATCTCTGTCTGTAGTAATATTTTTGTGTAGTGTACCAGTCGTCACTCTGTGGAAGTGATTCATTTTTTTATCGTGATTCTTTCATGTTGTATTCTCCAGAAATTTTGTCTTGTATTTATGCAGTGATGTTCACCCCGTAACCAAATGCCATTTTTTTCTATGTGTTCTTTTTTTCGTATCCCCAGCAGTGTTCATTTCTCAATTTTTTTTTTGCCACCCTTTAAAGCCCTGAGTCATGTCCCAGTACTTTTAAAATGTTACCTAGGGTATCTGCCAGAAAAAGTCAATAGAATCGTTCACAGTACCAACTTTCCCTTCTGACTGAAAGACTCCCCTAGCCCTTGAGCAATGTGTTTGTTTCACAGCCGTTCTGAGATTTTTTAAAGGCTGCGAAAAGTGAATTTCAGATTAAGTTCCATAGACTTGAATATTATTAACGTAGCCGAGCGGTCGGGCACTAGTAACCTGTCACTCCCATCTGTTTCCACCGCTTCAGATTTGCAGGATAGTTTTCCTTGCCTCAAGTGCCCGGGACCTCGCTGCCTTGAGTGCACAACCTACCCCGGCAATGACTACTAGTTCAGTAGTATTTCTCCACATGGATCCCTTTTAAAAAAACGATTACTTGAAACTAGTATGCCTCTCTGTTGTGTAAATGCTGTCTGCGAAAGACTCTCTGACAGTTTGTGCTCCACTAGAGGTCTGTTGTTGTTTTTAGTTTTCCAGATGGTGAAACGTCCTTTGAAGTGTTTCCCCCCCTGAAAGAAAAAAGGTCTTTTGTTGAACCACCCTTACATGTTGTAAAATAGAAAGATCCATTTCTTCCTGGCCAACACTTCTGGTCACAGTGTTGTTCAGAGCCAAACAACCTCGTTGACATGTTCACTATCCTTCCCCTGTTCGGGTAGAGGATGATTGTCACCTGACCAGGGGGTCGGTGTATTTCTCCGGGGGACCTCATCCACTTAACTGGATAAATCGTTCCACCAGTTGGGAAAAGACTTAGCCCCCACGATTTCCCCAGGTGAATCAAACTTTTGTTGCTCTTTTGAAAAACGTCGAAAAAGCCATTGCCTTACCAGGTGAGAAGGGGGTATAACGAATTTATGCCCCCCATCGTTTTCCCACTTGAACCTGGTACTAGACTATCTACATACCTGCGTACAGAATGCCCCACAATTGCTGTGCAGAAAAATTGATAAATCAAATGCTCGATGATGGGTTTTTTGCACCTAGAAATTCACCGGGAATGCCCCCTTGACCCATACCTAAAAGGTTTATTTGGCGCCCAGTGATGACTTTAAAGTTAAATGCGAAACCATTCCAATCGCTTCCCATTCCCCTGTATGGGTATTTTTTACATAACATGGGGAGATAACAAAGTCTTTAAACCCCCTGGTTTTTGTTACAAGGGTTTTGGCAATCCCCTTCACGGGCAGCCAAGAGCTAACGCTTTCTCCACCCAAAGGGTTTTTACATTTCCTCCGTAGGCATTTGGTTTAGATCTTCCCCCTATCACTTTCTCAAGCTCATGATAAACTTTAAGGTCTCGGGTTGCATTATGGTGTATTAGATGCAAAATCGTCATGTCTAAAGACTGGATACCACTTGAAAAGACTTGATGTAGTATTTGGGTAAGCTTGAAAAAGCCAAATTTAAAAGATCAAACTGTCTAAATTTCTTTTTTTTCAGATAAAAAATTTTTCTTGGTACGTAGTCACTAAGAGGGTTCACTGACCAAAAGTAAAGTAACTGCAGTACTAAATTTTTTCCAACCCAAAACGCTGATGCCGTAAGACCCTTTTGGGGGGCTTAGCGGGTTTTTATAGATCTTTCATTGCCAAATTTTTTCCCTTCCAAGCGCTCCTCTGATTGCTTAAAAAAGAGTCCTTTTTTTTTGGCCTTCTTCAAAAAAGAGCATCCAAATCTAAAAAAAAAGCTAACACGCTCCAAAATTTTAAATTTCCAGATTTTTCTAACCCCTTTCTATCTGACAACCGATGTAGTTCCTTGGCATAGGGCCGTACGCTCAAAAGACCAGGGCAAGTACAATGCAGTTCATTTGCTAGGGGTCCTTAAAAAGGCTAAACGAAATTATACAGTAACTGAGCAAGAACTTTAGCAATAGTAGGGTCTTTAAAGCACTTCCGAGACATTATTTTTCAGTACTCTGTTAGTCTTGACAACCATGCTCCATGAGACCTTTATTCCAGAACAAAAAACCTACTGGAAGGTTTAGCCAGAGGACCTTGACTATCCAAGGTTAAATCCAATTTTGACTTTACCTGGAAATTTCAAATTTTGCGCAGATCCCTTATCGCACATTTATATATAATGAAACCCCTCCATTTAGTGCGAAGATGTAAAGAATGCTAAACGAACAGACCCCTTGGGGCTGGTGTGATTCGATTCCTGCCCAGGAAATTTATTCGATGTGAAGCCACCAGCACCCATCTGTTTTGTCATGAACCAAAAATTTACTGATCGAACACCGAGTTGGGTACCCTCAGAAGGATAACCGTTAGAATTTCCCCAGTCCTAGTGAAAGTAGCCTTTCAGCTAGTTCACATGTACCATGTTGCACACCCTGGATGGACGTTCATAAAACAAGCCAGATTGAAATAATTTTTTTGGGCCCGTTGGGAACTGATATTTGAGTATGTTTAAAAAATGTATTCTGCATGCAAATAAAGTAATGCAAAAAGGGCCCAACCAATCCCAAATTTCCAAATACTACAAACCGGGGGAAAAATTGCGCTAGATTTTTTAACTAATTTCCAAGTTTCCCCCAAGGCAAAACTCTGTGTTTATGGTAGACCATTTCACCAAATTGTGAGTTGTTCCCATTGCGATAAACTGCCAGAC